TTCGAAGTATAAAAACTATGATTTTAAATTATTTTTAATTTAAATAAAGGTTAAATCAATTTATAAAAAATTTAAAATAATTTAACACTCTCTCTTAAGTTTTTCAAAACCAACCTAAAGTCCCATAGAATTTTTCCCAGTGCATAAATAGAAGCTAAAGCACTCTTACTTGTTTACCCACGCAGCTGCACTCCAAACAGATGAGCAGCCCCTCTCGAAACGAGGCAGAGCGGGTGGCTGCATGGCCAAGGGGGGCGAGCGGTGGCGGAACCAAAAAGGATATACTACCAGGAAGGCTAAGGATTTAGCAAAGCGGACATTTCGCATTTCGTTTTAATTGCAGGCAGCATCTAATGAGGCAGATATTGCTTCGTAAAAAAGTGCGTAAAAGTAAAACCAAAGGAGCGAAAAGCTTAAACCATTAAGTTCCGCCCACTTTGGGCTCCCTTTTTGGGCCCCCCCTCGGAAGCCTCCTTTAAGCCATTTTTGTTTACCTGGCTGCAAAAACTTAAGTGTTATGGCCAAGCCATCTTCCAGCTTCTGACAACTTACCTGCCCTTAGTTCTGGGAAACTAAATTAGATCTAGAAGAGTGCTAGGAAATCATAAAATCTTATTTATTTTAGATTTAAAAATTGTGTTTTTTATAGATTAGCTTTTAAGTTAAATAGAATTTTTTATTGTTTTTTTTTAAAGAGAAAAAGTTGAGTTTTAAAATTAAAGAGTTGAAGCTTTCTTTAGGGACTCCCAAAAAAGGTTGGGACTTTTTTATGATAGGAATAGCTTTTTATGGCTATATTTTTTTATATTTTTATTTTAAATCTTAAAACTTAAAAATTAAATTTAAAAAAAGCTTTTTTATTTTTAAAAATTTGACTTAAAAACAGCCAGTTTACCGGCACTATTGGCTGCCTCATAAACTGTCACCACCCTTTATGCTATTGCCTTGCCACCTACCACCCTCCACCCTTCACCCCTTGGCCGCCCCACCCCCCTCTCACACTTTCTTTTACCAATTTCTCTGGGCCACCCCTTCCACCCCCTTCTGTTACCAAGATTCTGAGTACCAGCCATTGCAGTTGACGTTTATTTGACTGCAACTGAACGTGACGCGACTCGGGCTTCAAGGACTGGAGGTTTTTGGGTGTTTGAGGGGCGTGGCACTTGTCGCGCGTAATTACACAGCCCCCCTCCTACCCTCTCCTGTCACTCTTCTTCTTAATACACGCATAAAAGTCCTGGCTTGCAATAAAAGTTAATGCCCGCCTTGGAGAAGGGAACCCAATTAGAAAGTGTTTGGTTCAAAAAAAAAAAAAGAGGCACCGAGGCGGTGTGAGCTTCTTGGCCAGAAAGTGGGTGGCACCTAGAAGGAGCCAAGCTTGTTTATAAAGTGCCAACAACAAAGCAGAAAATACTCATTTTTTTTCCTCCATTTTTGGATAAAGTTTTGTTGGAGAAAAAAAACAGAAAAGTTTTTGGAAAAAGCAAGTTTTTTTTATGACCTTGCTGCACAAATTGCAATTGTTGGCCGGCCACGCCCCCCGTTTGTCATTATGATTTGCTTTTAATGCTAAAGTTGTTCAGGAAAAGGCGTCAAAGTTAAAAAAAAATGTAAAAAAAAATATAAAAATGATATATAAACCAAGGACAGCTAACAAAATTTCTAATAAATTTTCTGGCTTACATTCTGGCCAAGCCACGCCCACAAATTGCAACAAAGGGTGGCAGCAGGATCACCAGGACATGCTAATGGTTAGCAAGAGGTGGGGTATAGACGTCGGGCGGATGAGGAGTCAAGTACAGTAGACAGTACAGTAGGAGGGAGAGGTTTTTTCCAGGGTGCGTGACACATTTTTATGATTACCGTCCGGGAGGGCACCGGAGTCGGTCCTAGAGGTCCTGGAGGTGCACAAAGTTTCCCTTCCGCTGCTCTACTTTGTCAATAAAAAAAGGATTAAACAAAAAATTGTTGCAATAGATGCAGAGAGAGAAAAGGGGGAGTAGAGTAGGGAAAAATATTAATTATTAAAAATAAAAAAGGAAATAAAAAGGATTATGAATTTTTAATATTTTTATAAATGCTTATGGTACAATCCACCTACCTTCTAAGCGTGTATTTTTCTGCGTGTAAAAAAGTACTACTTTTACCTGCACACGCACACTTATACCCACACACACACATCCGTACATTCACACAGACACTTACCAACACAGACAGAGAGTCGGGAGGGATACGCATTCCATTGTTGTGCTTTGGAGAAAGTTTTGCGCTGTCGGGGAATATTTATACAACTTGGCTTGTTTAACTTGCACTAATTAAGTTTGCCCGGCCACACTTGGATGCTCCCGTGTCGGTGTCCTTCTACCTCCCAGGACCTTGCTAATAGTGCGGTGGGGAGGGGATAGTATAGCGGGAGAAGGACTAACCACGAAGCAGGAGACATGCATAAAATACTCGTTGCCAAGTTTATGAGTGTCCAGAAGCCAGAAGGAAACGGGCGTAGATCAAACGGCAGGACATTCACATTTCTAGCCAGGATTTGAGCCAAGGACCTGACTTTTAGTTCAATAAAGTTGGGATTTGTTTGCTTAAGCTATTTTTAGTGAGGTTCTAGTTAGGAAACAAAAACGAAAAATCAACAGGATATATTAATCATACGCAGTGTAGGAGCTTTTAAGAAAAATATAACTCATACGCCGTATATAGTGAGTTATCTATGGTTGATTATATTTTATTATTATTTATATATTGTCATAATAAGACTAATTAATTTTAAACAGTTCTTACACCCCACACATGTCATATATCATTTCCTTAAAGTCCTCCAAAATTGCCCAACCGTTGCCCTAATTTAGACATTCAAATGCACGACTTTCGGCTGCTACCTCTTTCTTGTTAACCCAACCCTTGACTGGCCACACCCCCACTTCCGGCTGATACCCTGTAATTAAATTAATAGTTGGTTATATAGCTTTATGGTAAAAAAGGGAAATAATGTTGAGTGATATTGGCCGAGAAAATATTTTAAAGATGGCTTTTTAAAACAATTTAAAAATTAAAATCACTTAAAACTCACCCCAAATAATAGGAAATTGTAGTCTAGAACCTATTTATTTATTCCTTAATTTTTTTTGTATGTGTGTTTTGGTATTTTTAAGTTGGGATGGGTCCTACAGCGAACTACTCGATAATTTATGGCACTTTTGCCAGCCGACACACACACTCACACACGCACACACAGACATGGCACATGACTCAAGTGCACAATGCTGGGGCGACAGCCTGCCTGCCAGACAGACAGACAGATGGAGAGCCGACCGAAGGACTAAAAAGACGGACAACCAAAGGACAGACAATCACGCCCCGACATTTGTACATCGGGCATGCATTATGAATACGCCATACCATGCGTGTATGTGCCGCCCCATTCCTCACCCCAAAAATTCAGACCCCAAAAACCGTAAACCCCAAAACCCCATACTCTATACACCATCATAGTCCATACAGGCCCCATACCCATCAGTTGCAAAACTCCACGAACGAGGCCAAGCAATTCCATCAGCTGCCGAGTGGCGAATGCTGCCTCTCCCAAATGTCTGGCATCAAAATTTAATGTCTTTGGCAGCACAAATAGTTTTGGCCTGCCATTTTTAAGGCCTCTGGCCCTTCTCACAAACCGCAAAGGGGCACTGGGAGAAATGATTTAAAGAAATTGTCAAAGAATCTATTAGGAGGTCTCTCTAGTTAGGAGGTTTAGAAACATATTTTTTGAAGACAAAAATAAAGGCAGAAGGACATTTCTAAACTACTTGCTTTAAACTTCTTAGAATTTATTAAAAATCTATCATATATCCCTAAGTATTTGAAAAAATCCTACCTAATTTGGCGCCTAACGTGTGACTTATAAATTTTTACCAGAAATCCTTCATATATCTGCTTTCATAAAAGATAACCCTCCTTAAATCATCAAACCCTTATCCTTATAGGCTTTTTCCCTCAGTTTATAAATCCCGAGAATCTCTAAGCCAAAACTGATGAACCGAGAAAACCGTTGTGTCGGACCTTCTGTCTTAAACAATGGCCCGGGAACCGGAGACACCCCACAGAGCTATTGAATTATGGCAACGTGTGGGTAAACTCTAAACTCTCGGTACACTCGCCTCTCTATATATAGAAGATATAGGGTCAAGGATCCGACTACTCTACTCCACTCTCGTTCACTCTCTCAATGCAAATGCAATTAATCACAATGAAGGGTGGCCGCGTGGGTTCCATGCGGGGGTCCCTTCACTAGGTTCATATCCCAAAAGGACATGGGGCATGGGGTCTTGAAATGAGCACTAATTGAGTGCAGTCATGCACAGAAGATTATCTCCGGGGGTATTACTCTCGAAATTCCTAAATAATAGAGGGAAATGTAAAATGATTTCGAAAATCAGCAATTAATTATATAATTGTATGTTTTTGAAGTTTTGAAAGTGGAATGTAAATGATTTTAAAAGAAGCTGTTTATGGAGTAGCTTGGTTAAGAGAGCATTCATAAAAATGGTTTTGAAAGGCATTTCTTGTAGAGATTGCAAATAGCAGTCTTTTATTTCAGCTTGAAGCTATTGAAGTTTTGAGAGAAGGGCTGGAAAGAAAACAAATAATTTCATGCACGTTTTTATTTAAAAGATTTTAAAGCGTATATGTAGCTATAATTGCATAATTTTTAATTCTTATTATTATTCTTAGCATAAACCATCAAAACTCATTTCAAAATATGTTTTCAAGCATACTTTCAGGCTTCTTTTTAGGAGATTTCAAAACTCCTAGATATAATTCAACAATTCCAGATCCTATTTTCGGTTCTAACCTTTAACTACGTAAGGTTTTTAATAAAAAAAAAATTGAATAAATATTTAAAGCGTACATTAAGGCTTCTATTTAGGAGATTTCAAATCTCCCTCTCAAAAGAACTCCCATTTTGAAACCCCTTATCCCCATTACTCATCCAATAGCATACCGTAAATGCCAGCATACGGATGTGTTCTGCAACTCCGCCAGTGGAGCTGCCCCCGCCGAGGGTGCCCGTCTAATTGGACCCTGTGTACCGAAGGAGAAGCGCTGCGACGGCTACCTGGACTGCCGCACCGGACGGGACGAGGAGGGATGCCCGGGAGTCGCCTGCCGGCTGGACCAGTTCCGCTGCGCCAGCGGACAGAAGTGCATCGATGCCGCTTTGAAGTGCAACCATCGCGACGACTGCGGCGACAATTCGGACGAACAGGCCTGCAGTGAGTGTCCATTTCGATCGCCATTCACCATTCACGATTCGCCTTTGTGGCTGCTGGCTGTAATTCAATGGAATTCTGATGAAATCCTTTTCTCCTTTCTACTTTTCGTCCTGCAGACTTCCCGCCCTGCCATCATGCCCAGTTCCGGTGCTCGAATGCCCTGTGCATTCCGTACAACTTCCACTGCGACGGCTATCACGACTGTGCGGACAAGAGTGACGAGGCCAATTGCACGGCGATTGCCTGTCCGGACAACAAGTTCCTCTGCCCCCGGGGCGGTGCCCAGGGCACTCCCAAGTGTATCCTGAAATCGCAACTCTGCGACGGCAAGCGGGACTGCGAGGACGGCAGCGACGAGGAGACCAACTGCTGTAAGTCCTGACTTTTGTCCTCCACAGCTCCAGATCCTTAATGCAATGAATCTCTATTCCTACAGCGATTGCCTCCTGCCCAGCTCTGGGATGTGAATTCAAGTGTGGACCCTCGCTGACGGGTGGCGTGTGCTACTGCAAGCCTGGCCAGTCGCTGGCCAACGACAACAGGACCTGCGTGGATCTGGACGAGTGCGCCGAGTGGGGACACTGCGACCAGCTGTGCACCAACACCCTCGGCTCCTACACGTGCCAGTGCGCCCAGGGCTACACCCTGATCAACGACTCCAAGTGCATAGCCCCCGACGCCAGCAACCTGCAGCTGATCTTCGCCCACGACCGGGCTGTCATGAGGATGCTGGCCCACGGCAGTGACCCCAAGATCCTGGCCAATGCCACGGCAGCGGCGGGTGTGACCTTCCACTATGCCCGGAACACCCTCTACTGGTCGGACATCAAGACACGGAAGGTGCAGTCCCTGCCCCTGGATCCCCAAAACAAGGCGGTGTCGCCGTTCGACCAAACCCTGCCCGGAACCTGGGCGCCGGTGGCTCTGGCCGTCGACTGGGTGGGCGACAAGATCTACGTGGCGGACCTGGTCGGCCAGAAGATCGATGTCTTCGAGCTGAGCGGACAGTGGCATGCCGTCGTCCTGGGATCGAACCTCACATCGCCGGCTGACCTCGCCCTGGATCCCACGGCCGGTCTCATGTTTGTGGCCGACGGCGGGCAGGTCCTGCGGGCCCATATGGACGGAACCCACGCCCGGTCGATCGTCTCCGAAGCGGCGTACAAGGCCAGCGGTGTGACGGTGGACATCATTGGGAAGCGCGTCTTCTGGTGCGACTCCCTCCTGGACTACATCGAATCGGTGGACTACGAGGGAGCGCATCGAGTGATGGTGCTGCGCGGCCAGCAGGTGCCGAGTCCGTCGCGCCTGGCGCTGTTCGAGAACCGAATCTACTGGACGGACGCCACCAAGCAGGGCATCATGTCGGTGGACAAGTTCGAGGGACCCGCCTCCATCCAGGTGACCTACAAGGCCAAGGACATCCGGGAGCCCAAGGGCATCATTGCGGTGCACGCCCTCAGCCAGCCGAGGGTCTCGAATCCGTGCGGCAACAACAACGGCGGCTGCAACCACATGTGCATCGTGACCGCGGTGAAGGGTGCACCCACGGGACTGGGCTTCCGGTGCGCCTGCTCCACGGGCTACCAGCTGGAGACCGACCTGAAGCTGTGCAAGCCGGTGAGCGAGTTCCTCATGTACTCCCAGCAGCGGTTCATTAAGGGCAAGGTCCTGGAGCCGGTCATCGAGGGATTCAGCGACGCCATCATGCCAGTCGTCTCCCGGCGAGCTCGCTTCGTCGGCCTGGACTTTGATGCCCGGGATGAGTTCATCTACTACTCGGACGTCCTGCAGGATGTGATCTACAGGGTGCACCGGAACGGAACTGGCCGGGAGATCGTTCTCGCCTCCCAGAACGAGGGCGTCGAGGGTCTGGCCGTCGACTGGGCCTCCAAGAATCTCTACTACATCGACTCCCGCAAGGGAACCCTCAATGTCCTCTCCACACGCAACGTAACCCACCGCAGAACCCTCCTGAAGAACCTGAAGCGTCCCCGAGCCATTGTGGTCCACCCCAATAGGGGCTTCATCTTCTTTTCCGAGTGGGATCGTCCGGCGAACATCACCCGCGCCAACACCGACGGCAGTGGCCTGCTGGTCTTCAAGAACGTGACTCTGGGATGGCCCAACGGTCTCTCCATTGACTTCAAGGAGGATCGCGTCTACTGGTGCGATGCTCTGCTGGATCACGTCCAGCACGCCAACCTGGACGGCACGGACATCAAGACAGTGAACTCCCGCCTGGTGCGCCATCCCTTCTCCATTGTGATCCACAACGACTGGATGTACATCACGGACTGGCGCCTGGACGCCATCATCCGGCTGCACAAGCTGACCGGCGAGCAGGAGGAGATGATGGTCAGGGAGCCGCAGACCAACCGGCTGTACGGCGTCAAGGTCTACAGCCACGAAGTCCAGAGGATCGCCGACACCCAGCCCTGCCACCGGAACAACGGCGGCTGCCAGAAGATCTGCTTCGCGGTGCCGATTGGCGGCCAGAACACCACCACCGGGGACGAGGCGGCCATCGTTAGTCCCGCCAGCCTGGGTCGCCTGCAGGCCCGGTGCTCGTGCCCATACGGCGAACGGCTGGCCGAGGATCAGCGCACCTGTATGCCGGATCCCAGTGCCGAGCCACCCGTCCAGCCCTGCCCCAACTCGTGGGACTTTACGTGCAACAACCAGCGATGCATACCCAAGTCCTGGGTCTGCGATGGCGATGATGATTGCCTGGACAACAGCGACGAGGAGCAAAACTGTACAAGTGAGTATGGGATGGGAGTGGTCCTTGGAAAGCCATCTAATGCATATCCTCCTCCTCCTTCTTTTAGAACCCACCTGCGGTGCCAACGAATTCCAGTGCCGATCGGGACGCTGCATTCCCCAGAACTTCCGATGCGACCAGGAGAACGACTGCGGCGACAACTCGGACGAGATGGAGTGCGGCAATGTGACCTGCGGCACCTCCCAGTTCGCCTGCGCCAACGGCCGGTGCATCCCCAACATGTGGAAGTGCGACAGCGAGAACGATTGCGGCGACAGCAGCGACGAGGGTGACTTCTGTGCGGAGAAGACCTGCGCCTACTTCCAGTTCACGTGTCCGCGGACGGGCCACTGCATCCCGCAGAGCTGGGTGTGCGACGGCGACGACGATTGCTTCGACAAACAGGACGAGAAGGACTGCCCGCCGATATCCTGCCTGGCCAATCAGTTCAAGTGCGCCGATCTGCGGCAGTGCGTCGAGGAGTCGTACAAGTGCGACGGCATACCGGACTGCAACGACGGATCGGATGAGCTGGGCTGCCCCTCCATGGGCCCCAATCAGTGCAATCTGGAGAAGCACTTCCGCTGCAAGACCACCGGCTTCTGTATACCCATCGCCTGGCACTGTGACGGCTCCAACGACTGCTCGGATCACTCGGACGAGCAGGACTGCGGCCAGATCACCTGCGCCCAGAACTTCTTCAAGTGCAACAACACCAACTGCGTCTTCAAGGCCTACATCTGCGACGGCAAGGACGACTGCGGCGACAACTCCGACGAGGGGGCCGAGCACGCCTGCGTCCCGCCGCCCTTCAAGTGCCCGCACGGCCAGTGGCAGTGCCCGGGCGTCTCGGAGCGGTGCGTCAACATCACCTCCGTGTGCGACGACACGCCCGACTGTCCCAACGGCTCCGACGAGGGTGAGGGCTGCGACCTGGCCGAGTGCGAGCACCAGGCCGGCCAGTGCTCCAGCTTCTGCCAGAAGACCCCGAACGGAGCGCTGTGCGTCTGCCCGCCCGGCTCCGAGATCTTCGAGGACGGCTACACGTGCATCGACACCAACGAGTGCGATCCTCCGGGCCTGTGCTCCCAGCAGTGCACCAACACCAAGGGCTCCTACTTCTGCTCCTGCACGGACGGCTACATCCTGGAGCCGAACAAGCACACCTGCAAGGCCGTCAACCACACGGCCGCCTTCCTGATCATCTCCAACCGCCATTCCATCCTGGTGGCCGACCTCAAGGAGCAGGGCCTGGAGCGGGTGCCCATCATAGTGGAGAATGTGGTGGCCACCGCATCCAACATGCACACCGGCACCATCTTCTGGAGCGACATGAAGCTGAAGAAGATCTCCCGCCTGGACAGGGGCATGGAGCCGCAAGAGATCATTACCACCGGACTGGACCTGGTGGAGGGCCTGGCCTACGACTGGATCGCCCAGAACCTGTACTGGCTGGACAGCAAGCTGAACACCATTGAGGTGTCGGCGGAGAACGGCTCCAACCGGCTGGTCCTCGTCCGGGAGAACATCACCCAGCCGAGGGGCATGTGCATCGACCCGAGCCCGGGCGCCCGCTGGATCTTCTGGACGGACTGGGGCGAGAATCCGCGCGTAGAGCGCATCGGCATGGACGGCACGATGCGGAAGACGATCATCAACACGAAGATCTACTGGCCGAACGGCCTCACCCTGGACATCGCCACCAAGCGGGTCTACTTCGCGGACTCCAAGCTGGACTTTATCGACTTCTGCTACTACAACGGCACTGGGCGGCAGCAGGTCCTGGCCAGCAGCCACTACCTCCTGCACCCGCACTCGCTGTCCCTCTTCGAGGACACCCTCTACTGGACGGACAGGCAGCTCAACCGGGTGCTCTCCGCAAACAAGTTCCGCGGCAAGAACCAGACGGTGGTCTCCCACCTGATCAGCCAGCCGCTGTCCATCCACGTCCACCACGCCAGCCTGCAGCCCCTGCACCCCAATCCCTGCGCCGGTGCCCACTGCCAGCACCTGTGCCTGCTGAGTCCGAGCGCCCCGGAGGGCTACTCCTGCAAGTGCAAGCCCGGATTCAAGCTGCTGAGCGAGGGACGCTGCATCGAGGAGGAGAACCCCTTCCTGATGGTCGTCAAGGGCACCCAGATCGTGGACCTGCCGCTGAACGGCGGGGATGCCCGAGCCGGTGCCCTGGCGCCGGTGATCGGAATCGAGAGCAGCACCGGACTGGACTTTGACCGGAAGGGCGAGACCCTGTACTGGGTGCAGGGACGCGAGGAGGACGAGGAGAACTGCACCATCTACACGACACCGTACGGAGGCGGCAACAAGACCCTCTTCCTGGGCCCCGACAGCGGAATCGTCGGGGCACCGTACACGATCGCCTTCGACTGGCTGGGCCGGAACCTGTACATCGGCAACCGGGTGGCCAGCAACATCGAGGCGGTGCGCGTGGACGGCAAGCAGCGCTACCGCGCCATCATCCTGGCCAACGATGGGTATCCCAACTCCGTGTCCCGGCCCAAGCAGATGGCCCTGGATCCCACGGACGGCAAGCTCTTCTGGATCGACGAGGGCGTTCTGGAGGTGCCAGTCAAGATCGGACGCGTGGACATGAACGGCCAGAACCCCAAGATCATACTGGAGGATGTACCGCATCCCGAGTCGCTAGTGGTGGACATTGAGAAGAAGCAGCTCTACTACAGCGCCAGCAATCCCGGCCTGATCGGCGTGATGGACTACAACGGTGACGAGCACTCCACGATCGTGATGCGGGACTCGCATCCGATGGCGAAGCCCAGGAGTCTGGGCATCCTGGACCACAGGCTGTACTACCTGGACCCGGTCTATGAGAGGATCGTCCGGGTGGACCTGCCCCACGGCGACAACCCGAAGACCATTGTGGACAACGAGTCGGACCTGCGCTCGATGATGATCTACAAGAAGCGGGCCCTGCTCCAGCATCCCTGCCAGACGAACAACGGCGGCTGCAAGCACCTGTGCCTGCCCGGGCTCCAGGCCACGAGGTCCTGCGCCTGCGGCATCGGCTACCGCAAGGAGAACGAGATCAACTGCGTCAGCTACAAGACCTTTGCGGTCGTCTCCCAGCTGGACACCATCCGGGGCTACAGTCTGGCCGACAGCTCCGAGGCCATGCTGCCGATCAGCGGACCGGGTCACCACATCCTGCACGTGGACGTCCTGTTCCGGGAGCAGTGGGTCTACTGGGCGGAGTACAACCGAGGCTACTGGAACGGCATCTTCCGGTCGAGGCCCAACGGCACTGACCTCCAGCACGTGGTGAAGCTGGGCATCGGCAGCAACGGCATCCGGGGCCTGACCATCGACTGGGTGGCCGGCAATCTCTACTTCACGAACGTCTATCCCCACGAGAACTACGTGGAGGTGTGCTGGCTGGACGGCAGCAACCGGAAGGTGCTCGTGAAGACCACCACGGATGCGCCAAGGGAGCTGGCCGTGAATCCCATCAAGCGACTGCTCTACTGGATCGACTACGGCCAGCACCCGAGGATCGGCAAGGCCCTCCTGGACGGCAACAAGTGGACTCCATTGGTGACCTCTGGCATCTCCATGCCCCGGGATCTCACCATCGACATGCAGACGCACGACATCTTCTGGGTGGACTCCAAGCTGGACACGATCCAGAAGATCTCGTACAACGGCGCCAACCGCAAGGTGATCCGTCGGGACCTGCCCAATCCCATGGGCATTGCCGTCTACCTGAACGACGTCTACTGGGTGGACCGGAACCTGATGACGGTCTTCAAGGCCTCCAAGCACAGCGCCAACGAGACGGCCACCCGCGTCCGGACGAACCTCGAGAAGCTCCGCGACATCGCCATCTACAACATCAACAACCAGCCCACGGACGACGCCAACCCGTGCGCCCACCTCGGCAACGGTGGGTGCGACCAGCTGTGCTTCAGCTTCCCGCCGGACAGTGGAGTCACTGGACCATCCGGACGGAACTTCCGCTGCGACTGTGCCACCGGAAAGCTGAGCTCCGACGAACGAAAGTGCGAGACCGTCAACGAGTATCTGGTGTTCGCCACGAGGACCGAGATCCGGGCTGTGAACCTGGACCCCCATTCCACGGAGGTGCCGTTCACGCCGCTGACCAACCTCACCAATGTGGTGGGCCTGGACTTTGACTTCGCCGAGAACCACATGCTGTACACCCAGATCCGACCCTGGGCCAAGATCGCCTACACGAAGGCCAACAAGCCCAGCCACGACGACATCAAGGTGGTCCTCAACAAGGGCATCAATCCCGAGGGCATCGCCTACGACTGGACCCAGAAGAAGATCTACTGGACGGACAGCTCCAACAACTCCATCTACGCCATGAACCTGGACGGCTCCGAGCTGGTGATGATCACCAGGGTGGAGCGTCCGCGCGCCATCGTCCTGGATCCCTGCAACGGCACCCTCTTCTTCACGGACTGGGGCAGGTTCGGAACCTCCGGCAAGATCTTCCGGACCACGATGGCCGGATCGCTGAAGCGGGCAATTGTGGACAAGGATCTGTCGCAGCCGAGTGGCCTGGCGATCGACTACGACGAGCGGCGGCTGTACTGGACGGACGCGGTGCGCGAGAAGATCGAACGATCGGACCTGGATGGCCAGAACCGGGAGCTGCTGGTGGCGGCCACCATATACCCGTTCGCGATCACCGTCTTCCGGAACTACATCTACTGGACGGACCTGCAGCTGCGCGGCGTGTACCGGGCGGAGAAGCACACGGGCGCCAACATGGTGGAGATGGTGAAGCGGCTGGAGGACTCGCCGCGCGACATCCGCATCTACAGCTCCGACCGACAGAAGTGCACCGTCAATCCCTGCCTGATCAATAATGGTGGCTGCGCCCAGAGCTGCCATCCGGTGGCCAACGGCAAGACGGAGTGCAAGTGCGACGACAACACCAAGGTGGTCAACGAGGGCAGGATGTGTGCGCCGCGGAACAATACGTGCGAGGCCAGCAAGTTCTACTGCAAGAACGGCAGGTGCATCTCCAGGATGTGGTCGTGCGACGGTGACGACGACTGCGGCGACAACTCCGACGAGGATCCCAACTACTGCGCCTACCACTCCTGCTCGCCGAACGAGTTCCGGTGCAACAACGGTCGGTGCATCTTCAAGTCGTGGAAGTGCGACCACGAGAACGACTGCAAGGACGATTCGGACGAGATCGGATGCACCTACCCGCCGTGCGTCGACGGGGAGTTCACCTGCGCCAACGGTCGGTGCATACCGCAGGCCCAGGTCTGCAACGGCGTCAACGACTGCAAGGACAACGCCACCTCGGACGAGACCCACGAACGCTGCCCCATGAACACCACCTGTCCGGCCAACCATCTCAAGTGCGAGAAGACGAACATCTGCGTGGAGCCGTACTGGCTGTGCGACGGCGACAACGATTGCGGCGACAACTCTGACGAGGATCCGCTGCACTGCGGCCAGAGGACCTGCCCGACGAACAGCTTCCGGTGCCCCAACCATCGCTGCATCCCAGCCACCTGGTACTGCGACGGAGACGATGACTGCGGCGATGGGGCCGACGAGCCGCCAGATTACTGCAAGTCCGAGGGACGCACCTGCTTCGGGGATCTGTTCACCTGCGACAACGGCAACTGCATCCCCAGGATCTACATATGCGACGGCGACAACGACTGTCTGGACAACAGTGACGAGGACAACAGGCATCAGTGCAGTAAGTTACAGGAATCCTAGAGATTCGAGTCCAGAAACTAATAGAATCACCCCTCCTCCCTCTAGATGATAGGAAGTGTGATGAGGAGACGGAGTTCACGTGCGTGGAGAACAAGTCCTGGCAGCGGGCGCAGTGCATTCCCAAGAAGTGGATCTGCGACGGCGATCCAGACTGTGTGGACGGCGCCGATGAGAACACCACGCTGCACAACTGCGCCACCCAGCAGCCCTGCGGCGAGGACATGTTCACCTGCGGCAACGGCCGGTGCATCAACAAGGTGAGTCAGCCCCCCAATCCTTGCAAGAAACGAGAGCCTTTTCAAGCTCTGCCTCTAATCCTTTCCAGGGCTGGATCTGCGACCATGACAACGACTGCGGCGACGGCACGGATGAAGGCAAGTTCTGCAACTCCAAGTACAAGACGTGCTCGACGCAGGAGTTCACCTGCCAGAACTTCAAGTGCATCCGGAACCAGTACCGGTGCGACGGCGAGGACGACTGCGGCGACCACTCGGACGAGGTGGGCTGCAAGAAGGACAACGTCACCTGCCCGCAGGGTCAGTTCGCCTGCACCAATGGCCAGTGCATCGACTACAGTCTGGTGTGCAACAAGTATCCGGACTGCGCCGACGAGTCGGACGAGCCGGCCCACTGCAACGTGGACGAGTGCGCCAAGGTGGAGATCAACCAGTGCGGCCACAAGTGCGTGGACACCCTCACCGGCTACTACTGCGACTGCAACGAAGGCTACAAGTAAGTAGAATCCAAAGAGTAGCCACCACAAGGACTAATCTGAAATCTTTTCAAGACTCCTGGCTGACGGCAAGGCTTGCGCGGATGTGGACGAGTGCCTGGAGCAGCCGGGCGCCTGTTCGCAGCACTGCTCCAACACCCCCGGCGGCTACTACTGCAAGTGCGACGAGAAGTACTACGAGCGGGAGAACGACGAGCACAAATGCAAGCGGAAGGACAACATCCCGCCCTGGCTGATCTTCACCAACAAGTACTACGTGCGGAACATGTCGGTGGACGGCCACCAGTACAACCTGATGCACCAGGACCTGATGAACGTGGTGGCCCTGGACTTTGATATTCGCGAGGAGTACATGTACTTCTGCGACGTCACCGCCAAGACCATCTTCCGGGCCAAGTACGGCTCCGCTGATGATGAGACGCCGCCGGAGCGGGAGGCCGTCATCCGACACGACTCGCACGGCCTGGAGGGCATCGCCATTGACTGGGTGGGCCGCAAGCTCTACTGGCTGGACAGGCACTCCAAGAACCTGGACGTGGCCGAGCTGGACGGCACCAAGCGCAAGACTCTGCGCAGCGGCGTGGTGGATCCTCGGGCCATTGTCGTCCATCCGGGCACCGGGTACCTGTACTTCACGTCCTGGCACCTGCAGGCCTACATCGCCAAGATGGGCATGGACGGCTCCAACTTCACCACGATCCTGAACTGGAACGACGGCATCGCCTGGCCGAACGCCCTCTCCATCGACTACTTCACCGATCGCATCTACTGGGCCGATGCCCACTTGGACTACATCGCCTATGCGGATCTGGAGGGCCGGCACCGGCACACCGTCATGTCCGGCAGCAAGGTGCCGCACGTGTTCGCGCTGAGCCTGTTCGACGACTTCATCTACTGGAGTGACTGGAACCTGAAGGCCATCGTGCGGGCGAACAAGTTCCACGGCGCCAACTACACGGTCCTCCGGAATACCACCCACCGCCCCTACGACCTGCACATCAACCACCCGCTCCGCCAGCAGCCGTACAACAATCCCTGCGGCACCGACAATGGCGGATGCTCCCATCTCTGCCTGATCGCCCCGCCGCCGGAGTCCACGTACCTGAACATCGAGGGCTACATCGAGGAGGGGGCGCCCATCCACAAGTGCGCCTGCCCCAACCAGTTCTACCTGGCTAGGGACATGAAGACCTGCATTGCCAACTGCACGGCCGGGCAGCATCTGTGCGGCGGCAAGGACGAGAAGTGCATCCCCTGGTTCTGGAAGTGCGACGGCGAGAAGGACTGCAAGGATGGATCCGACGAGCCGGCCACCTGCGCCCCGCGCCACTGCCGGGCGGGCACCTTCCAGTGCAAGAACACCAACTGCACGCCCTCGGCCACCATCTGCGACGGAGTGGACGACTGCGGCGACCGCAGCGACGAACAGAACTGCGACCTGCCCTGCCCGCTCTCCGACTTCAAGTGCAAGTCCAGCGGAAGGTGTATCCTGGACAGCTGGCGCTGCGATGGCGATGCCGACTGCAAGGATGGCAGCGACGAGGATCCAGCAGTGTGTTGTAAGTAGAACTCTGATCCCTCTGGACGATCTGGAGCTAATCTTCTCCTCTAATCCACTCCAGACAAGCGCACCTGCGACCCGAAAACGGAGTTCTCCTGCAAGAACGGACGCTGCATCCCGCAGCTGTGGATGTGCGACTTTGACAACGACTGCGGCGATGACTCCGACGAGCCGGCGTACATGTGCCGCCAGAGGAACTGCACCACCGGGTGGCAGCGCTGCCCCGGACAGTCCAACTACCGCTGCATCCCCAAGTGGCTGTTCTGCGACGGCAAGGACGACTGTCGCGACAACAGCGACGAGTTGCCGGAGAACTGTCCCAAGTGCAACCCCGAAACGGACTTCAAGTGCGGCAACAACCGATGCATACCCAAGTGAGTTACTTAATTAATTAATTAATTAATTAATTAAATTAATTAATTTAATAAATTTAATTTTTTTAAGGCAATGGATGTGCGACTTTGCGGACGATTGTGGAGATGCCAGCGATGAGAACGATGCCATCTGCAAGGGACGCTACCGCGACTGCTCGGAGTCCGAGTTCCGGTGCGGCAACGGCAAGTGCATCTCGTCGAGGTGGCAGTGCGACCACGAGGACGACTGCGGCGACAACTCGGACGAGATGCACTGCGAGGGCTATCAGTGCAAGAACGGCACCTTCCAGTGCGCCTCCGGCCACTGCATTGCCTCCTATTTCCGGTGCGATGGGGATCGCGACTGTCGGGATATGTCGGACGAGGTGGGCTGCCCGCCCCGCTTCCCCGGCGGACGCTACTGTCCGGAATCGCGCTACCAGTGCAACAACAACCTGTGCGTATCGCTATCGGATCTGTGCGATGGTACGGACGACTGCGGCGACGGCAGCGACGAGGATCCGAGCGTGTGCAGCGACTTCAACTGCGACACGTTGCGGCGGTTCCAGTGCGCCAATCACCGGTGCGTGGCCCGCTACCAGATCTGCGACGGTGTGGACAACTGCGGCGACGGCAGTGACGAGAACAACATGACCCTGTGCGCCAGCAAACAGAAGCCGTGCGACCTCTACACCCAGTACCAGTGCGCCAACAAGCACTGCATCGAACGGTCCCAGGTGTGCGACTTCTCCGACGACTGCGGCGACGTCAGCGACGAGCTGGGCTGCCACCATACCAGCAGCTGCTCCGAACAGAACCGCGGCGGCTGCCAGCACCATTGCCACAACCTGACCGAGGGTGGATACATCTGCACCTGCTATCCGGGCTATATCATAGCGCTGGACAACAAGAAGAAGTGCACGGACGTGGACGAGTGCCTCACCAGGCAGCACACCTGCTCGCACCAGTGCCATAACCTCAACGGTACCTACAGCTGCAGCTGTCGCGAGGGCTTCCAGCTGACGGACGCAGCCAGCGGCGTATGCCGGGCCGAGAAGGAGGACGTGATCCTGGTCTTCGCGAACGGGCAGGAGATACGAGGCCTGGACCTCCAGAAGCGGGAGGAGTTCGATGTGATCGCCGCCGAGAAGAGGATCGAGGCGCTGGACTACGATGCCCAGCAGCAGATCGTGTTCTGGGCCGACAGCTATGACAAGACCATCAAGCGCTCCTACATGGTCAACGCCATCGACGGCCGGGCCAAGATCGGCTTCGCCCAGGACCTGAACATGAAGGGCGGCTCCAAGCCCACCGCCGTCGCTGTCGACTGGCTGGCCTCGAATCTCTACTGGACGGAAATGGATCGCACCGGTTCCAAGCCGCGTGGACGCGTCATGGTGGCCAAGACCGATGGTCGCTACCGGCGATCCATTGTCAATGCCGGCCTGGAGGTGCCCACCTCCATTGCCGTGAACCCGCAGCTGGGACGCATCTACTGGTCGGACGCTGGATCGGCGCCCAAGATCGAGGTCTCCTGGATGGACGGCTCCAAGAGGAGGCCACTGATCACCGAACAGATTCGTCATCCGGCTGGCCTGACCATCGACTACTCGCAGGACCATATCATCTACTGGGTGGACACCAAGCTGAACGCCATTGAGTCCATGAGGGCCGATGGCTCCCGGAGGAAGGCCATTGTGAAGGGCGACCAGCTGAGGCATCCGGTGTCCCTGGACCTGTTTGAGTCGAACATGTTCTGGATGACGCGGGACACCGGCGAGCTGCTGCGCCAGGATAAGTTCGGACGCGGCGTGCAGGTGGTGCTCCACCAGAATCTCATCAATCCGTCCGGCCTGAAGGTCTACCACGACAAGCGCTACAACACCTCGCTTCCGAATCCGTGCGACAACTCCACCTGCTCCCATCTATGCCTGCTGGTGCCCGGCGGCCATCGCTGCGCCTGCCCCGACACCTCCGGGCCACCGCCCTCGCATCGCAGCACCGCCGAGGTGATCTGCGACGCCGCCGCCGAGCATCCGCGTCCCGCGCCCAGGATCTGTCCCTGCCAAAACGGCGGACTCTGCAAGGAGGACGCCCAGGGCGAGCTCGTCTGCGAGTGCCTGGCCGAATTCCGGGGCGACCACTGCGAGACGAGCACCACCGGCGCCTTTGGCCATGGCGGCGCCAATGTCACCGCTGTGGTGGTGCCCATCATGGTTATTCTCCTCGTGATGATGGCCGCCGCCGGGGCCTGGTACGTCATCCGCAAGAGGCCATTGTAAGTATACTCCAAAGATTTTTAAAGATTTTATGGTAGATTGGTGGGGATTAGGGGGGATTGACAAGGATATGGGAGTGGGATCCCAAGAATCGGATCAAAATTGGGGAAGATATAGACATAATTCTGGGGCTCTATAGGAGAAAACCCCATTTTCAAGGGGGAAAAGTCCCACCGGGAAAAATGGACAAAAAATCTAAAAAATATTTTGTCTCAGGATTTTGATGCAGAATGGTGGCAAATCGATCCACAAATCGTTTAAGGTACTCCGCTTGAGAATCGGATAAGAATTGGGGAAGATATAGACATCGCAGTGGGCCCTATAGGGGAAAACCCCATTTTCAAGGGGTCCCATCAGGGAAAATGGACAAAAAATCGAAAAAATATTTTGTCTCAGGATTTTGATGCAGAATGATGGAGAATCGATCCAGAAATCGATTAAGGTACTCCGCTTGAGAATCGGATCAAAATTGGGGAAGATATAGACATCGCAGTGGGCTCTATAGGGGAAAACCCCGTTTTCAAGGGGTCCCATCAGAAAAAAGGGACAAAAAATCTAAAAAATATTTTTTCTCAGGATTTTGATGCAGAATGGTGGCAAATCGATCCACAAATCGTTTAAGGTACTCCGCTTGAGAATCGGATGAAAATTGAGGAAGATATAGACATCGCAGTGGGCTCTATAGGGGAAAAATCCATTTTTAAGGAGGGCCATTGGGAAAATTGAGAACACATATTTTTTTCCCAGATTTTGTTTCAGAAACGATCTTTTAATCGTTAAAGGTATTCCTCTTCAAGATCGGATAGACACAGCCAAAGATGTAGCTATAGTTTGGGAACAAAAATAGCCACATATCGTCGCAAGTCCCGTCCAATAGTAACCTCCTCCTTTTATTTAATTTTTCAGTGGAAAACTGGCTCGCATGCCGGCGATGACCTCGTCGCAGAGCGTGACCTTCCGGCATGGCTCGAACGTGGAGTTCAGCGAGAGCGGCTTCCCGGGCGCCTCGGCTCCGGGGGCGGGCGATGTGGCGCCCATTGAGGGCTACAACCTCCAGACGGTGAACGCGAACAAGGCTCGCGACTTTGCCAATCCGATGTACGATGCCGTGCAATCGGGAACCACCGCCGATCCAGGAATGGGCAATGGTTCCGGTAAGTGTTCTTTATAAAGTTTATTTTATTATTTTTTATTCATTTCTCTGAAACCTGAAACTTCTCATTTATGACAAAATTTAAATTCGAAAATGCATCACTGATCCTTGGATCAGTTTTCTCAAAATTCAACCATATCATGTCCTTCCGATTATATATGTCCGTTGGTCCGCTTGTATTCCTGGAGTACTGGACATCATCTATGTAGCTTTCTTGTTCCTCAATTTATTTCAATTTTTTTTTTAAATCTTAGGCATCTATGATGTGCCTGGCGAGCCCTCGGGTAAGGGCAAGGCGATGGGCCATCATGCTGGAGGATCCTTTACGGAGCCAGCCTCGGCGATCATAGCACCGAGCAGCATCACGCACAAGGCGTCACCGCAGCTGCAGCTGCGCACTAGGGAACTGGATCCGTCGGCGGATACCGGCAAGGATACACAGTTCCTGGTGGAGGAGGACAAGTCCGAGTGCTGATATCAAGCCCCACGTCGTGGGCGCCAGTCGGCGGCTGCCGTTGCGATTGCAGTGGCCGTGGGCTGTCGCCAGCAGCGCCGGAGTCAGGTAGACTCTGGCGAGAGTGGCGGCGGCGTGTATCCCCTTCAGACATAACAATGACTGCCGATGGCCGGCGGTCTAAGGCGGAGGGATAACAAGGACAGTAGCAGTAACAGCATCAGCAAGGATATGGACACGCAATCGCAACAGCAGCCGCAAAATCATCAGCAGGAACAGGGACGCTCTTCTGCTACTTCTTCTAGTAGTAAACATCACAAATCCTGGCAGGTAGCCACCGCTGGAAAGCTCACCACCAAGGTCTAAAACCTGGCCAAAAAAAAAAATAACAAAAAAAAAAAGGATAATTTTTTACACACACACATACACACAGAGAGAGACAGGATGGGACAGTTAGGAGCTGGAAAGTCCTTGAGGGGAGGGGACATCGAAAAACAGAAACAACAGAAAACATATCCAAGAAAGCAACTACATAAGAAATTCGAAAAAGTTGCCAGCAAATTGAGCAAAAAATTTATCAAAGCTCGATATTCGATAATTATCGATTAACTATCGAAAAAAATATTAAAAAGAAACTTTTGTAAAGCCAATTTTTTGTGTGTAATGTGTAATGTTTTCTCTTGTTGTTCCAATTTTTTTTTATTTTTTTGCTAATCGAAGATATTTTTGCGCAAGAAACAAAAACTAAAACAAAAAAAAATTATTGTATAAAGCAAAATGGAAAAAAATTAAGGCATAGAAAGTATAAATATATATTTTTTTGAAAGCTAAATGACAATATTAAACTATATATACAAGCTTATATAGATGTATTTATACTATATAATAATATTATATATAATACTGATATTATATAAAATATTACATATATATTATATAACATTTATATATGCATTTGTATATCTATATATGTATATGTATACACACAAGGCAACTATGGGAAAATTCCAAGCTAGGATTTCTATATGTATTTTTCTAAAAAAAAACTAAAACTAAAACACAAAAAGTTTAAAAACCAAAATCAAACAAAAAAGCGAGCTAAAAAAATATATACAATATATATATATATATATATGTATATATATGTGTGTAAAATTAAATGTAAAACAAGCCGATTTAAAAAAAAAAAACACTATTGTGCTAAAAAAGAAACAAAACAAGAAATGTAATTGCATTCCCAAAACACAAACACATTTAATTTATAATTAATTTAATTATTTATTCAAACACACACACACACTCTGCAACACACACAGACATAGACAGGCCGTAACACAAAAAATGTGCTAATAATTTGATAAAAAAGAAAAAGAAAATTAATGCTTTAAAAAATATTAAAAAAGGAAAAGGCATTCCAATTACATTCCAAGAAAAATAAGAATTATCCCTGCCCCCTGCCCCTCTGGTTGAGAAAAAGCGTAGCTTTTACTTTCTCCAAACTTTCCCTTTTTAAGAAAAATTATACTTTTTACTTTTATTTTTTTGGGTTTTTCGTGCAATCTAACATATGATTTTTGTAGCTTTTCTTTTTTTTTTCGTTTTGTGTGTGTAGTTTAAAAAATAAAAAAAAAAGAAAGCCTGTCGCGCGCATGTTTTTTTTACACATCCAATATAAATATTCTATAAATATATTATTTTTTAATTATATCATCGATTTATGACTTGTATTATGATTTATTTTTTGTCGAAATAATGTCCATCAAGGACATCACATTCGTCGTATAATGTGTGTGCATTTTTTTTTTTTTATATAATTTTTCTCGTTCTCTGTGCAAAAATCTGTGCTTCCCTTCATTTAAGCGTGTTTTTAGCATAAATTTTAGTGAAAGAAATATAAAAGAATGGAAACTAAGAAAAGCTGTATTTGCCAATCGGGCCATACAACGCTATATATAAATATATATATTTGTGAAGTTAATTGTATATTTAATGTCAAGCTACATAAACGATAACAAAAAACAAAAAAAAAAAAACAACATAATAAGAGTATGAAAAAAACAAAAACTACGAAATGACAAAAAAAAAACACTATTTGTTGAAAGAATAAAACCTTTTTTTTATTATTATACATACTGGGGGGAATAAAAAAAAAAACAAACAAATGAAAAATTGTAAAATGGAGAAAAACTAAAACATTCAATAAAGAAAAATCATTACAAAAAAAATGTAAAAAAAACTAACATAAAAATGTCAATTTATTTCTTAAAATTTAACAGACAAAAAAGGTAAATATAATGGTGTATAATGTCAGTGTTAGAATTTCTTAAAAACTAAAATCTAGTATATGATGTTAAGGTTTTACATTCTGATTTTTTGTTTGTTTCATAATTAATTAATTGCATTCCTATTTAAAATAATTATTTTCCAGCCAGGTTTTAAAGCGCAAACAAGTTGAGACTGAAATGTATAAAAATATTCACAATTTGTTTCGGTTTCTATAATCTGTTTTTTTTTTATCTCTTCTACAACTAATACATATGATTTTTATAATTTTGGGTTTTAGTTTACAATTGTTTCTTTATATTTATAATTTTATTTTTATGGTTTTTTTTTTTTTATTTGTTCTGCTAATAAATAATGTTTATTAATTCTATGGACCTATCGAGTGTTTACAGTTGGCCACCCCCTTTCCACCGGGCATGAGCCGCCTTTCAAGTCACACTGGAAAAAAGAGAATACATAATGCTTTGTGAGCTGAAAGGCGGTTAGGGGGACGGAAAGAGGGAGGGGCCAGCTGGTATTATCTTTAGATTTCTAGGAGAATTGCTTAAGTCTTGGGCTGAGGCAGATACTCGCGATCTGATCTGGTCACGATCTGGTGTGTGGTTCCTATATATGTCGTTGCTAACCAAAAAAAAAACCTAAACTTAGTTGTATAATGGTGGCGACTCTTAGTTAGTTGCTGCTGCTGCTGCAGTAGGCGCTGCTCGGGCCGCGAATATGGGGCTAGTCGCTCGTCTTCAGCCGCTTCACCGGCCCGTCGCTGCCCTGCGAGTTGGAGTCCTCCGAGAAGGGCATACTGGATACAAAGTCGGCGCCCTGACTGTCCGATACGACAGAGAAACCTGTGAGGTAAAATAATAGGTATTAGTAGGGTTTTTGGATAGGTTTTCTTATATGGTATTTAATAATATTATTATGGAGGGTGTTGAAAATCTATAAATAGTTTTTTTATTCTTCTGAATAATTCTACATTTTTTATAAGAAAGTAATTATAAAAAAATCTAAGAAATTAAAAACAAAAGTTTTCCAAATACCTAGCTTTTCGAAAGGTTTTAAACTATAATATAAACTTTAAAAAAGTCAGAAGCTTATAATATTGACCTAGGTTATTTCTAAATACACATTGGGTCTGGGTTTTTCCTAAACTTTTTTTTTTAACCACAATTTTAAAGATTTAATGCTGAAGCTTGTATCCCAAAAAAAAAGTTGGCATTAAATATGTCAATATAATTATTTAAAATCTCATAAGAAAAACCTTTTAAAAAGAAGCTCATTAAGAACTTTCCACTTCCCTTAGAAAATTATCCTACAATATGGGTTCTAAAAATATTTTAATGATCTAATAATAATAATAATTTATGAATTCAAAACAATATTAAAAATTCTAATAGATAAACTACAAACTTTAAAGAAAATCTTCATTAAAGTCTCTCTTTAAACAGAAAGTCAATTGATTAAAAGTAAAACAGTCTATATTGTCTACAAAAACATTAAAATATCACCTTAGTCACGAGCTATACTCCTTTTTAAACAAAAAGAAACACAAATTTTATAAACAGAGTTTAAAGTTTCAGAAAAATGACAACAAAACTTGGAGAAGACATCGAATTAATAAAATAAATAAACAAACTAGGCCTGGTTTTACGATTTAAATAAATAAACATGCAGTGTTTGTTTAAAAAAAATATGGAATTCAGGGAAAATTACTCTTCGATCTTAGGATCGAATTGTTAAAATGTATTCAGTAGCTGGATACCACCTTTTTTTTGTGTTTATGGCAGAAAAATGCCAACGACGAGGAATAAAATCCTTAAAAAAATAATCAAAATAGTCAAATCTTGGATACATTTTTTGTTTAAAAAACCGTTTTGTGGAAAAGACACTTTGTTGAACAAGACTTTTATAAAAATAATATACACAAGATTAAAGATCTAACATAAAACATAAATCACAAGATACGTTTTAAAATTAAGATTTAAAAAAAAGATTAAAGGAAATCTTAAAGATTCTTTAAGAATCTGAAAACTAGCCCTAAAATATCAACTATATAGTGATGTCGGGGTCGAACCCAAGTCCTTACAGGTGTTGGAATCCTCGGCTGTGAGCCCCGCATAGCTGGGCGTGATTTGGGGCGGTGTGGGTGTACCCTTTTGGGAGTTCTCCTTGTCGCTGAGCTTGCCGCCACCACCGCCGCTGCCGACGCCGCCGCCACCACCGCCACCGGATACATTGACGCCGCCACCGGCGCCACCGGACAGCTGTTGGAGTTTTGATTTCTTTTCGCTGGCCGATGAGATGGGCACCCATTTGTAGATCTTCATGGTGGTGTCGCTGATGGTGACCCATTTCTTTTCCCAGTGCCGCACCTTGTCCACCGCCTGCATGACCCGCTTGATGTCATCCTTGGCCCGGCTCCTGGTCTCCGCTCTGACGCTGCGCGACATTTGATTGACACACCACTTGAATCCTCGTTTCCTGTATTAGATTCGGCGTCGCCTCAGATCCGCCGCTCGCTGTTTTCCGCGATTTTCTCTTGTCTTGTGGTGTTTTGGCTCAACTTTCGGTTGAGAGGAGCTGTGTTGGGTGGTTAGCTTTGACTTTTTTTGCTTTTCGTTCACTGGAAAATCGTAGTTCTTTGATAATTATGGAAAAAAATAGTAAAATCTAGCGGACGCTTGGCGAAAAACGGTCGGTGTTGGTAAATGCTAAAAATACTGCAATGCAAAAAAAAATACTAATCCATTAGATACCAAAAATAGTATCGCTTGGGAATAGTGGAATGTGGAACAAAGTGAATGTCTTAAAATTCAAAAGTATTTTTGATACGATTATATATATTTTACATCAAATAATTGAAATTTATTGAATTTTATTCATAATATTTTAAAAACATCGATATTGGCGCGAAAACATCCAACTGGGGTATACCGATAAAGTACCGATAAATATACTATCGTTTGACTATCGTTAAAAAATACCATGAGACTTCAATCGATAGTTCAACGTGACTAATAGTCGGTGCATCGATGGGTGCCATCGATATTCCCCCACCACTACCAACTCGAAGAAGAAGAAGACGGAAAAGAAAATTATGCGTATGCGGACGGTGTTTTTTTTTAATTTGTTTTTTCGTAATTCTCGACACTCAAAATCACGCGAAACGTGAATAGTGCCAATAGTGAATAGTGCGACAGTGTGTGTGCGTGCATGAAATGTTCGCGTTTGGCGATTAAACTTCGCCCGTCTGCCCCTTCGCGTCCCCGAACCGCCCCGCCCCCCTCGTGTCTTTCGCCCTTCCCCAATCGCCCCTCCGCCCATAGGCACCGCGCGAAGAAGCCGAGTCCGAGGCGACAATATAGAAGGAATTGCCAGGCGACGCGCCGTAAGAAATATCGCAAAAATACAACAACACAAAAAAAAAACCCAAAAAAAGTTACAGGAGCAAAAACAACTACAAGCTGCAGCAACAACAACAACACAAAAAATTAAATAAAGTACATAAAAGCAGCAGACGGAGGAAGGCGAAGGCAGTAGGAAGCGGCAGAGCAGAAAATAAATAAGAGGCCGCAAGGTGGGGAAAATGAAAAACACGAAAAGCATTTTCTTTTTTTTTAATGAAAAATAGGGAAAGTCAACGGCTAAGCGACGCTGCTGCTGCTGCTGCGCCCCATACACACACACACACACACACAAAGGCACGCACAGAGCGAAAAAAAAAAACACGCGCTCGCGTGTGTGTGAAAATTAACTGTTTTTATATATATATATATCGTCTTATATACAGTCTTAAAAATAAACACAAATCTAACGGTAGCACTGTAATTAAAAAGATAAATTACTAAAAGAAAAAAAAAGGCAAGAATTTATAGCACTTTTGTGGTTGATCTTTTTTTCGTAAAAATTGGCCAACACGCACACCAAGGCAGGTACGAATTCTGCCTCACTCTCTTCAGAGGCTCCTTTTGATCTCTCATTCTAGCGTGGCCATGTGCCTGTATGTGTGTGTGTATTCCAGGTCTTGATAAGAGCCTAACACCAACAACAACAACAATAAGAACAGTTGAGAGACAAAAATATAGACTAGAAGAATGCTAGAGCAAGACAGGCTAACAAATTGGAATATATAACACTAATTGAAAATTATTTAAAAAAAATGGAATAAAATTTAAAAAAAAAATAAAATTTTATGGAATAATAATAATGCAAATGAAAGCATCTGAGAATTTCTGCAAAAACCAGCAGCTGTTCCAAATAAAATACATGAATTTCCCATCCAAAAAAAAAAAAATAAAATTGAGAAAAACAAAGAGGTGTTTTTTTTTTTAATAAATATTTTTTTCTGTGCTGTGTGTGTGTGTGTGTTATGTACTTTTTTTTTTTTAAATAAATTAAATAAATGCTAATAATTTCTATTAATTTCCATTTAGCGTCTGTCTTTAAAAAAATTAAAAAAGAAAGAAAAGTTGAAGAATTCTTCCTGAGTTTTCCGTCTCCGCGAAGTTAAAACGCGCTGCCGGCGTCGCTGTTGACGTCGCCCATTTCACGCGTCGCCGCTTCGTCTCGCCGTCTCGCTTAGCCCCTTAACCCCTCTCTCTCTCTGGCACTTAAAAAAAAAGGAAATATTTTTAAAAGAAAAATTAAAAAAAAATAGCCAAGAAAGTCAAGCCAACTGTAACGTCATCAAAACGACAACAAAAACAACAGCAAGCAGCAGCCTTTACACAGAGAGAAAAATTCTTGTTTTTTTAAATGAAATTTTTTTTTTTAATATTTATATTTATATTTATATATTAGACTTGAGTTTTTTTTTTTGGAAATTACAACTAAAGCGGATGTTGGTTTATTTTTTTCTCTGTGTAGTTACAACAACAACAATAACAAGCAACAAAAAAAAAAAAAAGAAAACGCATTTCATTGCCAACAACTGACGAAACGGTCAACGACATTGCAACAACAACAACATTGCAACATTTACGCGAAGACGCAGCAAGCAACAACAACAACAACAGCAATAAAAAAAAAAAAGAGAGACTGCAGCAGCAACAACCACAACAACAACAAGCAGTAGCAACAAAATAGCAAAAAAATGCCCAAATGCGATGTGAAAACGCGTTACATTCCTGCGACTTTCGCCTGGATTGTCCTGCTTTTGACCACATTTCTCTTCTTCTTCTATCCGTAAGTTGATTTTCACTTAATTTTCAACAATTTTCACTAGATATCCGTTAAGATATAATAGCCGTAAGATACAATATCCGTTAGATAGACACTGTCTGCAGATTCCAAGACTTCTTTAAAAGTCCAGTTAGTGATTTGCAACTAAAGTTATTAAGGTTTTCTAATTCTTTCATTAAATCTTAATTATTTTTATACTTATTTATTAATTCTCTAGTTATTTGGAATTTATTTATTTATTTTTAAGGAATCAATAGGAATATGTTTATATATCTTATCTAAATTATTACACAAAGCACAGCTCATTAAGTCAACTTGTGGAATATCATATTTCAATTAAATGCACTGCAAGAAATATTTAGTATTTTGCTGAAAGTTAATAAATATGGAGAGAAAAATTTGAATAAGACGATCTTGTAACAAAAATAAAATAAATATTAAGACTTGATAGAGTTTTTAAAGTAAAATAGAGTCTAATAGGCGTTTAATATGTTTTTAAAAAACTAAATCAAGTCTTTAAGGTTAAATACAGTCTAGTAGTCGTTTAATACATATGTCTATAACAATATATTGTAGTGTATTCAGGTTCTATTAAAAGGAATATTAAAAATTCGGGTGTTATAAATCGAAAATCTTTTGAAAGAAGAATAGCTATAAGATGATCTATAAGATCCATGAGATGGAAACATTGTTAGTGGATTTCTAAGTCCTCCAAGACTATGAGATTTTTACCTTTAAGGAGTATTTTAATAAGCCAGGTCTTTTAAGAAAAAAATCATAGTCTTGGAATTATTAATATCCTTCTAAAGAATATCCAGTATTCATGATATATTCCACTTTACAATAATGAAGTATATAGTATATAAAGTATATAATATTCGTGGAATATAAAGTTACCTATAGATGCCTTATATATTACATTTTTTTACAATAAAGACATATAAAGACATGGAATATAAAGACATATAAATTACCCATTTCCTTCAAGGATCCAAATCCAAAAAAGGAATCCTCTCCAAGAACCATGTCCGTTTGTCCGCTTCGGGGTCCGTTTCTTATCTTAATATTGATTTTATGGCAATTCTAGACCTATTTTTTTCTAGAAAAATGGTCACAAGAATCCAAAAACTATAAACTAAAAAAAAAAAAAGTATATTTTTCTAAAAAAAAATAATTTTTTTAACCTAAAAATATTTAAAAAAAAAGAGTATAAAATAGCCTGGGAAAGAGGATATTAAGGACCTTTAAGGCTATTATATTAAGGCTATTAAGGACCTGCTCTCTCTAATATCTAATTCCTTCTTCTAATCTTCTTGGCTTCTAACATCTTTAAATATTTTCTGTGAAAACCCTCTCGTAATTTTTTCTCAGTGCACACTTTGTCGCTGCCACACTTTATTTACTTTGCTCGCATTTCCATGGATTATGGCGTCGGGTCGTAATGCATTATTATACGAGTATATGGAACAGCTCACATGGTCTTATCCAGTCGGCCGTCGTCACCCAACCCCTCCTCCTCTGTTTTTTTTTTTTTTGCAGTGCATGTGTTAGTCATCACCACCACCCCCCTCCTCCCCCCCTTTTGGCACTCAATTTTCCTTCAATTCTTTGTGAGGAGCAGCTTTCTTTATTATTTTTACGCTTGAAGATTGTTTTTATTTTTTTTTTTTTTTCATGTGTTTGGATCGTAAAAAGAAATAGAACAGAAATTTGACACATTTTTGTTATTTAATGACTTTTCTAAAATGAATCCTTATCTTGATGGCTTTTGCGGTTCATGAATTGTAAAATATTCCTTTAAAAATTTGCTTAAAAATTGAGTTTACTTGGAATAAGTTTATTCTAAACAATGTTATCTCGGGGGAAAAATTTGCATACCATGTCCACAATTAGCACATGAAACGAAAACCCAAAATAGCAATTAAGCCAGTCAGCCATAGTCTACAGTTCACCCACCTCCTCCCTCCTCCACCTCTCTTGGCCTGGCCATTACCTTTTTGCTCTTGAAATTTTTTGGCTTTGACTTTTCCGCTCCCAGTTTTTCCTCCAATTTCCCATTTCGTTCATTTAATGACGAATTTTTGTGGTCAATTGTAGCTGCAATTGTTCCATTTTGGCATCTGCTGCCGGCTGGTGCTTCTGCTGCTGGTGTGGATGCCTCTGCCTCGGTGTGGCTGCCACACCGTAGTCGTAGTCGTCGTAGGCTAGGCACTCGTCTTTCATCCTCCTTTCAATGTTGGGCAGTATTTTGGGCCATTATCTGTGGCACCCTTTGTGATTTTGTTTTGTTTTTGGTTGATGTTTGAATCTTTCTCATCATCACCTAGAGGGCACTGAGAGAAATAATGGTTGTATAACAAGTAATTTGGGGCATTATTTTGGTTAAGGAGTATAGGTTTTTTTTGGGCTCATAGATTTTTTATTTTTTTTTTTTTTGTTTTTAAATAATTTCTTTTTAAAGAAAAGTTGCTTAAAAAATTTAACCTTGTGTTATGGCTCGATTTCGAAGGATGTTATGTTCTTTTTTAACGTTTTACTGATTTATTAATTGTTTTGTACCATTTTACATGAAAATGTATTCTTTTTGTATATATGTTTTTCTAATATATGTATTTGTTTTTTGCTTTGTATATTTTTTTTACTTTAAATGAAAAGTATCTTTCAAATTGCGGTTTAACTGTGGGATAATATTAGGGATAGTTTAGGATTTATACATTTCTAATGATTTAGTATGATATTTCTTCATTATTGTTAGGTTATTTCTAATTTTTTCTTAAAAAGAAAGATGAAAAAAAGCCCTAAGAGTGCCTAACTAATTTCATATATATTTTAAAATTACTTTCCTTTAAAAAATGGTCCTAAAAATGTGTTTAAATATTTGAAATATTTCATACTATTGAGGTATAAATTTTTTTTAGAATTTTAATATTGTTAATATTATTACCTCTTTTTATTTAATTTTTTTTATTTATTTTTTTGTGGGCTACCTTACCTTTGTCTTTTTTTTCATATTTCTTCCCTTTGTCACACTTATCTATCGCCAATCGCCTTTGTTATGTATTTTTTTTTCTTTTTGGCTTAGTGAGTAACTAGCAGGGTAAAGGCCACGCCTTACTGCCCACACCCCCCACCGCATAGGCCCACCCACCCACTTTCTTCGGCCCAACACGGTCTCCCACACCAACTCCGTTTCCTATTTTTCGCTTTTTGGCTTTTTGGCTTTGACTTTCGAGGCGACACTTGAGTTCTGCACTTTGTTTGCCTCCCTTGTTGCCTAGTTTGGGAATTTGTTTATTTAATTATGCTTTCTTCTGTTGCTCCTGCTCCTGTTTCTTCTGGTCTTCCGCCTGCTTTCTAGTATTTCTCTTCCCATTTCCATTTTTCGTGGCCACCTCCCTTTTTCGCTTTCTTGTTATCTGAAGTTAAGGCACGCAGCGGGCGTATTAAATATCGTCTAGGTTCCAAAAAAAAAATAAAAATAAATAAATAAATAAAAAAGCAGCTTAGCCGGCTACTTGATACTGCAAAAAAATATTTGGTGAAATTTTGAAATTTTGAAGAAATTTGAATAGGAAATATTTTATAAAAATTTCTTGCTTTTCTGGGTCTTTAAAGGCAGTTATTTATTAAAAAAAGCATTTAAACAGCCTGGCACTTTGTTTTTGGCTTAAAAAGTCTGGAAAAGCTTAAAAATACGGATTTTTGATGTTTCTTTGATAGAATTCCTAACTAGTTTTGAGAGAAAGTATAAACTTTTTATTTTATTTTTTTTTTTTTTTTTATTTTAAGTCTAAAAAGTATGAAAGGATTTCTAACTAGGATTTAGGATTTATAACTAGTTTTAACAAAAAATCAATTTAACTTACTTTTAAATCTTAATTTTGTTCAAGAAATCTCGAAAAAAATTACAAAAAACAAAGTAATATTTTATATGTTTTTATGGCATTTTTAAAATTCTCTATTTTCAACTTTTTTAGTTGATTTTTTGTTTAAACTTTAATAAAAAAAAACATTAAAAAACTTTGAGAATTCTTAGCTATTTGCCCTTTCTGTTAAAATTCTAGAAACTTTTTCTAGTAAATTCTGAAATTCTAGTAAGATTCTTTATTTTGTTGTCTTTCTCGCTATAATTCCTAACTGGTTTTGGCAGGAGAAGTCAAGTGCATGTTTTAACATGCTTTTTAGACTTGGAAGACAATCAAGTTTCATTTTTTTTGGGTTAAAAAACTTACCTTAATAATTATCATAGTTTTATGAAACAGTTCTAAGGTAAAAAAAAAACAATTATGACAAAAAAAAAGTAAAAATGTAATGTTTAAAAATATAATTCCACAAAAAAAAGACGACTTTTTGGTCTAAAGCTTCTTAAAATTCCTCTAGACTTCGATTTTCTTAAAGAATTCTTATAACAGTCTATAAAACCCCTCATATTTTTTCTATCAGTGTATTCCCCTAGTTTCAGCTTTTGTTTCATTAGTAAGCGACGTCGTCATCTGATATGGGGAGTGTGTTTTATTTTGTTATTTTTTTTTTTGGTGACAATAGTGGTGGTGGTGGAGGAAGTGCGGATAAGGAGGTTCGGGTCGGGTTAGCAAAAGTCCAATTACGAAATATTTCATTATGGCTAGTTTGTTTCGCTTTTATTTTATTTTTGTTTTTCCCCACTCAATGCCACAGGTTGCCTTTGTTACTGTCACCCCCAAAAAACAACAACAACAACCAACAAACAAAAAAAAAAACCAACAACAACAACCTACGCTTGACAAAGCGGGAGAATAAAAAGAAAATTAAGTTAAACATGGCAATAGGGCTGTTTGGAGAGTCACGCGAAAATATATCTAAAAAAAAAAAGCAGAGAAAAAAATAGTAAAATAAATAAAAAAAAAAAAGAGGAAAACTGTTGCTAACCGACCAACACTAACAACAACACGACTGCGTCACAACAACCATAATAGTTTTTCGGGGCCAACCACCCACATAGAGTTCTATAGAGAGCCCTATGA